GAGCCTGTCCTCCCACCTCTCTCCCCTTGCCCAGCACTGCCTGTAGCTGCCTGTGTGCAGGGAGTTGGGCCCAGGTGACAGCATCGTTACATGGCTGCACACCCCCTGAGCTGTATTAGGAAACTTTCCAAATTGGAATTACTCAGATTTCAATAAAACCTTTTGATAATTTTCTGTTACGTTTTGGCCGGCAGATGAAACTGGAGGTGTTCCAGGAGAGCTGTTGTGGCGTGTGTGTGGGCCAGTTCAGCCCAGCCACGGGATGAGGACCTGTTGAATCAAGGGATCGGGCGGTTGGATGGCCACAATGTCCTTGTGCCTTGCTGAGGGTTCCTGTGTGTTTGGGACCCTGCAGCTGCTCTGTGTGACCCCTGGGGCACAGAAGGCCCCCAGCAGTACCTCTCATCATGCAGTCAACCTACCCCAGGTGAGCAGGTTCTTGTATTTAACAAGAGACGGGACACGGTGCCCAAATATGTACCTTCCAAAGCAGCAGGATCAGCAGGAGGAGAACTATGCAGAGACTCAAAAGGCAGAGTGCCTTTCCTGCCATCAGGCCAGGAGACATTTCAGTGAAGAACCTCACACTTGAGGTGTATCAAGAAGGATAACCCCTGAGAGAACGGAACAACTTTATCCTCATTACTTTCCTTAGGAACTGGCTGAGTGCTCCATTCTGGACCATCTCCTAATCCATCAGCCATAGTTAGGCTCTCTGACTGGCAGAAATCAATCACCTCCTTGCATACAGAGGCCACTGGATGAGACTTCAGTTCTGGGGAGACACACAAGGGCTTCACTTCATCCCTTTGGAACAAGTACTTTGCCTCAGCAGAGCTCTCCAGCCAAGTTTAGGCATCACTATGCAGAGGATCTGCTCAAAGCTACCATGAGATGTACCAAAGGAAGGTACAGATTGCAATGCAGAGCATCAAAACCAAAGATTTACCACAATTTTATTTATGGATATGTAATAAATAAGTGGTGAACAAAACAGGAAGAGCTACATTCAAAAATCCAGATCACTAAAGTGCTTGTAGACATAAACATAGGATGACCAAGAAACAGTTCTGACATTAACACTGTTTACAGACAATTACAAAATAACTTCTTATGTCAATTCACAAAATTGTACAGTTACTCTGGGGTACTATGGCTTGGTTTTCAAAAAGGTCTGTTCTATTATGCATAGTATGGCAGATAACATTCAAGAGCATACAAAATCATTGCATAAACAAAAATTACCCCCTTCTCCCAAATATGAGTTAAGAAAGCTACACAGTGTAAATCCAGTGATAAGGCTGCATTGGCAGGTCAGATCCTCAGGAGTTATAAACCAGCACGTCTGCCAGGTTACACCAGCTTGAGGATGAACCCCACCACGTTTAAAAACCCTGCTGCTCCTCAAGGTGGAAGAACCGTGTGTTCAAAGCGGAGGGACTCACCTTGCGAGTGCTGTGCAAGGGTGGAAGTGCTCAGAGAAGGCATCTGCAAACTCCTGCACCTTCTTTGCACCCTCATGTTTGAGAAGGGAGCACCTCCCATTGCACTGTTGCTCCTGGCTGGCCATGGAAGCATTCAAAGTTCTTCCCCAGCAATGATCCACACCGACCACAATGCGGTCTCCTTTTCAAACTGCTCTTGGCCCCACTGGGACACTTCTCCTACCCTCCATCCTGGGTCTGCTGAGAAGCCAACAGCTTAAAAGTGAGGGGACAAGGGGATGTGTGTGCCCCGTTTTAAAATGCCCTTAATTCAGATAAAATTTTCATTATTTCAGAAAAAAAATATTTTTTTATATATATAAATAAATATTACTATGTGGCCAGGAAGCTGTGAGGTCTGGTGTCCTCTGGGGCAGCCCAAGCTCAGTGGTCCCTGTCCTTCTGCTCCATGGGGGGGTCCCCATTGATGCACTGTCTCAGTACACCCCTCTTCTCGTGCTTGGCTGTCCTGGAGAGGTCGATGGCTGTGTCCTCTGAATCTTTTGCAGGGTCAAGCTTGTCAGAGCCCCTCTGGGAACTGGCCTGCTTCCCTTTGAGTTCCTCCTCCTCCTGCTCTGCGTCTGCTGAGAAGCCAACAGCTTAAAAGTGAGGGGACAAGGGGATGTGTGTGCCCCGTTTTAAAATGCCCTTAATTCAGATAAAATTTTCATTATTTCAGAAAAAAAATATTTTTTTATATATATAAATAAATATTACTATGTGGCCAGGAAGCTGTGAGGTCTGGTGTCCTCTGGGGCAGCCCAAGCTCAGTGGTCCCTGTCCTTCTGCTCCATGGGGGGGTCCCCATTGATGCACTGTCTCAGTACACCCCTCTTCTCGTGCTTGGCTGTCCTGGAGAGGTCGATGGCTGTGTCCTCTGAATCTTTTGCAGGGTCAAGCTTGTCAGAGCCCCTCTGGGAACTGGCCTGCTTCCCTTTGAGTTCCTCCTCCTCCTGCTCTGCTCGCCAGCCATCTGCCAGCTTCTCTTGCCTCTCCGCCTTCCTGCTCACCTCCATGGACTTTTTGTGCATGCCTTGCAGAGAGGAGAAAGCAAAGCCAAGGGTGCTGGTTGCTTTTTACTTCCCAGAACCACTCAGCATCACCTTCTGCCCTCCTGCTGCCTCCTTCCACTCTTGCTTGCATCCCAAGGAAAACTCATGCTAGCTACCAGCCTTTCCCAACCCAGAGCCCTACCACCTGCTCTCTGCAGCCTGAAAGGATGGCTTGCAGCAGAATTGCTCCACACCTCCCCTATAGCAGGGCAGACTTACGTGGAGAGGGATGCTGTGATGGCCCATCCTAGCCTGGATTGAGAGCACCACCCCAATGCAGGACCCTCTATGAGCAGAGGGTAGCTCCGAGACAGCATTATCTTCAGTTTTGGGGGAGGGTGATGACTTCCCAGATGCCCTACAATACCCACGCTGGCTGCTAGCACTTAGAAAGCAACACCTAACCAAGCTCAGGCACCTGTCTGACACAGCAGTAAAAGGTTTTCCCTTTCCCAGCTGTTCTTTCCAAGGAGGGAGGGGCAAAGTCAGGGCACTTGGCAGCCTGTGTACAGCTCACGGCCAAGGCCCCATTCTTTTCTGGGAAAAGGCAAGGATGGCCATACAAAACAGGAAGGGCCGCTTGCTCCACAGCTGCCCCCTGGCCCTTCCAGCCCCAAGTTCCCACTCACCCAGTAGCCACGGGGCGCAGGATCCCACCAGCCCGCTCTTGGCAGAGTTGATGATGGACTCGGGCAGAGGGATGGAGTGCCTCACCATGGCCCCATAGAGGCCATACTCTGCCATCACGCTGCTCCGGCCCCAGCACTTCTCCCGCTTCCGCCACTTGGCTCTTCGGTTCTGAAACCAAACCTTCAGGGGTAACAGCCAGGAGAGCATGGAGGGGCGGGATTGGGGAGGAGACAGCCCCCACGGCCGGCGTCCAGGGCCAAGAGGCAGCCAGGGGGGTGTGTGGAGGGGTTTGGGTGTGCGAGCGCAGGGTGTGGGTGTGCAGGCAGCAGGAGGAGGGCAGCCAGCGTTGAGGGAGGGCACACACGTGGGTTGTCAGTGAGAGAGGGGAGGAAGGGGGAAAGAGGGACCACACATTACACAGAGCCGATTCTGACAAAGGAGGGTGATCCCAGCCAGTCTCTCTATGCTCTCTGCCCACAGGGCCCCTGAGCTGCCTCCTCACAGGTCACCAATCTCTCCAGAAACAGGGGTCCATAAGGCAGTGACAGATGATGGCAGAGGGTGCTCAGGTCCCTGTCCCCACTCCCTTTCCTGCATTTGAAGGTTCAAGGAATGGAGATACAACCCACTCCCTTTCCTGCATTTGAAGGTTCAAGGAATGGAGATACAACCTGACTAGGTTCAAGGGATGGAGATACAACTGGTAATCTGACTGCTGCCCAGACTACCACCCCATTCTTAAGCCAATGAGCTTGTGGGGCAGATCAGGCTCTAAAATGCCATGTATGCCTCAAAGGGACAAGCTAGTGAGCACGCTGGTGTGACACAGCTTGGCCTGGCAGCTCCTAAATTGCTCTCAGCTCCTGCCTCAGTTGGGTCTCTGAAGGACAGAGCTGAGCTGCTGATGGTGAGCAGCTGGCGGGGCCAGGTCTGTCCCCTGGTTCTGCCTGTTCAGTGCCAGGGAGTGGAAGCTAAGCTACATCCCCAAGTGTCTTGCAGCATTTTGGTGCCACAACGTTCCCACAACCTGCAGTATTCGTTTCAGTGCCACCACATTCCCACTGCCTGCACTCACTGGCCATAGAGCAGAAGAGACAGCTGGGCACCAGCAGCCTGCAGACTCCATGGGGAGAGAGGACTGGCACAGCCACCTACCTGCATC